CCCCAAAACCCCAAAACCCCAAAACCCCAAAACCCCAAAACCCCAAAACCCCAAAACCCCGAATAAAGTTAAGTTGGTTGAAATATTAAATGGTTCTTTATAATGAAAGTAGGAGTATATCGATATGGAATTCATAAATCAATAATATTATCAAAATTAGGAGCTTTGGTTTAAAATAATTTTAAGACCTATTTTTGTTCTTGTTTGAGTAAAAACTTTATTATCAAGACCAAGAACACAATACTTGATCTAATCCATATTGAATTGTTAATTCCCTCATGGTGGAGAAGTCTATTTCACACCCACCCATGTGAATTTTTCTTAGAGAATCTTTCAAAGAAGTGGCTGAGATGGCTTCAATTAATCTTCCTAATCCTTCAATTGGAATCATCTCTCAGTAATTTTCCACTAATTTTGGTGACTCAAATGATAGCTCTTTGATCTTGTAAGCTGGAGAGATGTCAAAATTTAGGCTTTTGAGATCGAGCACACATTCATCAAATCATATTCCTTCAACAACCCAACCGGTTTTAAAGATTTTTTTCAAACTTTTGCTGGAGATGCTCATTTTACGAATCTTAATTTCATGTACAACGAAAGGGCTTATCATCATCAACCTTGCTTCGTAAGTATCAAATTGACGAATCTTGTATCAATCAAAGTTGACATCTAAAGAATATATCCTTTTAATAAAATTGCTCTCCACCACCATCTTCTTAGCACTTGTCAAATCTTTTGAATCATGTCACTCAACAACAGGCATAAAACATGAAGTTGAATCTCTATAAAAACTCCAAAGCTCTTGAACTACTCCTAAATTCCCTCTTCTCCAGTCTGAGAACACATCCATGTCAACCAACACAACCATACCCCCAGTAACCTCACCTAAAGGCCCTCCAAGATACTTCTCCCCCACCTGCCTCCATACCTCCCTCTCTATTCCCCCTTCACACTCCCTCACGCCCACCTCCTTCTTCCTGACCTCTTCCTTCTTTCCATCCCCCTCTAAAATCTCCATTTGTTCCATTAAAAGCTTAAAAATTCCAATATTCTTACTATAATTCGGGGTTTTGGGGTTTTGGGGTTTTGGGG